CCCAGACCTCCAGGCCACTTCCCCTGGCCGCGTCTACCTCAGGTATCGCGAAGAAAAACAAACGCAGCCTGAGGTTTGCCTTTTTCCATTCCCTCGTCCGAGGCGGGCCTGCCAGCTGGGCGGCCGGGCTTCCTCCTGCGGCCCGAGGCAGCGGGCCAGCCGGGAACCGCGGGGAGGGGCGGGAAGGCCCAGGCGGCCGGGCCTCAGGTCACGGAGCCGGGCCCCGCTGCCACCCAGGTCGGCCCCGGCTGCCGCTGCCGCCCCACCCGGCCCAGCCACCTGCCACTGGCCCGGCTGCCCCTCCAGGTGCCCGCGTCACCCCAACCCTGCTGCCTCACCGCGGGGCCTCCCACGCCCGAGCTCCGCAGGGCCCTGCCTCAGCGTCCAGCCAGCTCCCGGGCCCGCGGCTGGGGCTGCTATGCCCACCCGGCCCCAGAGTCCACGGCACAAGCTGGTGCGGTCCCCGGAGTCGGGGCCGCCAGGGGTGGCCGGGGCCAGAGCGAGAGCCGGGCTGGAGCCCCGCAGGCCTCAGGCATGCGGCCAGGGCTGGGGAAGAGGCCCTCCAGGAAGACCCGGCCAGGGCCCCGGGGACGGGCCGCCCACAGACAGAGCGCACAGCCCGACGGCAGCCTGGAGGCGGCGGCTACAGAGGGGCCTCTTCCACCACCACCCCATGACACAGGGCTGGCCTGCGGGTGAGCGGTGGGTGCGGCGGCCCCCATGGGGACAATGCACAGAGGGAGGAGCCCCAGGACTAGGCCCCGCAACAGGCATCGCCTTCTATGCCAGGGAAGCCCCGCCACCGGGGGTGCTCCCCAGGAGGATGGTCCCCCATGCTGGCCTTTTGTCCCCACGCCCGCCCTAGGCGCCAGCCGGCCACGGTGCCTCAGCAGCGGGTGCTGGGCCACAGCGCGAGGACGGGAGCAGACCAGGCCAGCTGTCCCATCCAGACGCCGCCGGCTGTGCCGGGACATCTGCTCGCGCAGCTGAGGGAGCCAGGTGGGTCTCCCGCCCGCCTAGGCCTGGCCTGCACCCGCGGGCGCCCACCACCCGCCGGAGCACCTGCCGCCGCGGCCTCAGACCGCCAAGCAGACCAGCCCAGACGGGGTTGAGTAGCTCCTCCTGGGCGGGCCTGGCCCCTCCCGCGCACCTCCATCCCCCCAGGTCACGCCGGCAGGCCCCTTCCCAGAGCCCACACCACACAGGCCTCCCCACCCCACACCTGGCCCCTCACAGGCCCACACAGGGTGGGCTGCCTGGGCACTGCTGGGATGCGTCTCTACCTGATTCCAAGATCTGCTGCTCAGCCCACAGCCACCCCCAGGGTCACCCGGACACCCCAGCACACACGGGGCTGCCGGCCCAGCTGTCCACCTCGGGCACAACCCTGCGCCCAGCTTTCCGTCCCCTCCACCCACTCCAGGGACCGCTGGGCACCCTCCGCCCAGCAGCCAGTGCGCCTAGTCCTTGGGGGCAGCAGAGGTGGCCTCACCGCCAGGCGGGGTGAGGGGCACGGCCCCCTGCGCGCAGCTGCGGGAAGCACAGCCCAGCAGCACGGCCCCGCCAGGGCGGCTCCTGAGCCCACTGGGCCCCGGGTCAGGCTTTGGAAGAAGGGGGCCTCCTGACGCCGGTGCCCTGTGGTCAGGGAGGCCCGGACAGGAGGAAGTATGCTGAGGCCTGAGCCCAGCCTCTGGGCAGGGGCGGGACAGCTTGCTGCCTTGCTGGTCAGGAGGCAGGCTTGCCTGGGCCCAGCATAAATAAAGAGCTCCTGAAACCCAACGAGATGACAGGCGACCTGACCAAAACCTGGGCAGCGGGTCTGACAATTCCCCAAAGGCGACACACAAGTCGGTGGCCACAGCCGCAGAAGGTGCTGACCAGAACTGCAAGGAGCTGCTGTTTCGACCCACCCTGATGGCAAAAGCAGCTTTTTGAAAAGCAGAGAACAAGGCCAGAGAGGCCAGGGAGCGAGGGAAGCCTTGCGGCCCGTGGGGGTGTAAGTGGAGGGACATCCTGCTCCTCCAAAAGTCACGCGGAGAATTCTCCTCTGATCCAGCAGTTCTGCTCCAGGCACAACCCCCGGGGGAAACGCAAGCACACGCAAGAAGACGTGCGCGGCCATCCATCACAGCCAGGCTGGCGCGGGGGGCAGCCTGGACTGCGCGCCCTTGGCGAGGGAGGGGCCTCGGGCAGGCAGCGCTTGGCACCTGAGATGCGTGGGGCGGGCGACTGGGACACTCTGGAATCACAGCAGTGCTGGCCACGCAGCCCAGCAGATGTGCTGAAGCCTCAAAACCCGGCCCTCTAGGCCGAGCCTCACAGGGAGGGGGTGTCTCAGGAGCAGGAGCCGCTTTGCACTCTCGGCTGGGACCCACAGGGGTCCAGGCACCCCATCTGTCCTCAAGAGATGGTGCCAGGGCCTCCCCGGTGGCGCAGCAGTTGAGCGCTGGGCTGTGAAGCTGCCCGCAGCCTCTGCAGCGCCGGTTCCATCCCCAGCCTCCAGCGGCAGCAAGGGTCCCGCATGGCGCAACAGACCCCTCCTGCCGCCCGCTGCTCCCCCAGCAGTGTCCTTCGGTCCTTCTGCCTGCTCTGCTCCCCGCTCTGGCTCTGGTGAATTCTCTCACCCTCCCGCGCTTCTGACTGTCCCCAGTGCTTGTATAGATAAATAAATAAATAAATTTTTAAAAGGAAAAAAAAGAGAGAGATGGTGCCGGCAGGAGGGAGCTCTAGGGCCGTGTGGGCCGCTCCCTCCCGGAGCAGGCCTGGGCTCTCCCGAGCCAGCCACAGAGGAAAGGGTGCGGCAACACTAGGGGCGCACCCAGGCTCGCAGGACACCACTCTGCTGCTTCAGAAGAGCGCCCCTCAGGGGAGTCTCGGGGCTCCCTCCCCGCACCTGCCCCCAGCCCCCTGCTGGGGATGCCCCAGCCCCCAGTATCCGTAAGAAAGGGCAGGCGTGGGGGAGCCCAGGCACGCCCCCGGGTCAGGGCTGCCCTTCCTGAGCAGCTCCAGCCTCTCCCCAAGAGGATGCCAAGAAGGGGCAGGGCGCAGGAGAGTCCTCCCTGCCAGCACAGTCCGAGGCGCTCAAGCACCTAGGCCCCGCGCCGGGCCCAAGTCTGCCCCCGAAACCTCTGGCTGGCCCCTTGCTGCTGGGGCCGGCTCACCCCTCCTTCCAGAGGGCACCGGGCCAGGCTGTCCAGCCCGGCGCAGACAGCCCTGCAGCCCAGGACACCCAGACGGACGCACCACCTGCTGCTCGTGGCCGGGCCCGCAGCCAGCGAGGCGTGCCCCTCCCGGCGGGCAGGGGCCCGGGGTCCCGCCTGGTGGCTGAGGTGAGCAGGGGCAGCAGGGCCGGCCCGGCAGGCGGTTGGGTTGAGGCCGCCGGGAGGGGGTGGGGAGGGCTCCTGCCCACGTGACCCTCCCCCAGGCCAGCCTCTCTGGGTTTCTGGGCTGTAACTGGAGCTGCGTTCCTGCCTGGGAGCCTCGTGCCAGGCAGGGCTTTCGAGAGGGGGAAGGGAGAAGCGGCCTGGATCGCAGCTCCCGGCTCCCTCGGCGCGCCGGGAGCCGCGGGGCACCGCGGAGAGGCCCGGCAGCTCCTGTCACTGCTGGGCCGCCCGCTCCGCCCTCCCTGGCCAGGCCGGAGCAAAGGCCCCAGGCCCGGCGGCCGGTCCCTCTGGCCCAGAAGGCAGCCCTGCGCGGAGAGAGACCCCGGCCGGCCGCCCCGCCCTGGCCTCCGTGGGCCAGGCCCAGCGCCTGGCGCTGCCCGTGCTCCCGCCCGCCCCGAGCCGCACCTCTGACAGCCGCGCCCCCGCCCGCAGGACCCCAGGCGTCCGCCTGCGCGGGGCCAGCACAGGTGGCACAAGCGGCGCGGGGCAGGGCTCTCCCGCAGCCCCGCCGACGGCCGCCGGGCCCACGCGCAGGCCGGGCCGGGGCGGGGAGGCGAGCGGGGAGGCCCCGCCAGCCCCGTCTCCCGAGCGGCCGCGCAGACCAGCCCGGGTGTGCCCGAGCCGCTGCCCCGCGCGGGGCTGCAGGGCCCGAGGCGCCGCGGCTGCCCAGGCCCGTGACTCACGCCGACCTGCGGCCAGACGGCCGGCTCCGGCCCTCCTCCTGCCCGCGGCTCCGGCCCTCCTCCTGCCCGCCGGGCGAAGCCGGGCCCAGCCGCGCCAGAGCCGGGGAGGGCGGGCCGGGCCGGAGACACCGGGCTGACCCCGGGAGACGACCCAGGAGAAAGGCGCAGGCGGAGAAAGAAAAACACAAAGGGAAAGTTTCCCAGGAAAATATTTTATTTTCTTTGAGAACAGGATACACCTGCAGGGCTCGCGGCCCGCGCCCGCATCCCGCGCCGACGGGGCCCCCTGCCGGCCGGGCGCGCGGCGGAGCAGGTGACGGGCGGCGCCGGGCGGGGGAGGCGGCGGGGGGCGCCGCGCGCCCGGCCGCGCCCCAGCCCGCGGGCGCCCCTGCGCGCCCCCAGGGCCCGGGGGCGCGGGCCGGGCGCCGGGCGGGCGCCGGGCGGGCGCGGGCGCGGGGGCGCGGGGCGCGGGGGGCGGGCGCGCCGGAGCGCCGGGGCCGGCCCGGGCCCGCGGGAGGCGGCGTCGGGCCCGCCGGGGCCCCGCGCTCGGGCCGGTGCGACAGGCGCGCCCGGGGCGGCCGCGCGAGCGGCGCGGGAGGCGCAGCGCCAGGAAAACAAACTCCTCCGGCCGGAGCCGCCTCCCCGCGGGGCTCGGAGCGGGGAACATCTGGATTTTGAGCGTATTTTCTGTTGTTGTTGAATTAACTTCCCGCGGGCGCGGGGCGGGGCGGCGCGGCGGGGACGCAGGCGCCGCGCGCTCGGCGGCCCGGCCCGGCGGGGCGGGGGTCCCCGCGCCCGCGCCCCGCCCGCCGCGGGGCGCCCCGGGTCCGGCCGGCCGCGCCCCCGCCGGCCGCCCCCGCCCGGCCCCGCCCGCGGCCGCGCGCCCCCGCCCGCCCGCCCGCCCGCCCGCCCGCCGCCCGCCGCAGGCACCTACCCGAAGTAGGCGGCCGAGGGCGCAGCGCGGCGAGCAGCAGCGTCAGCGCGAAGGCCGCGGCCGGCCAGCGCGCCAGCGGGGGCCCCTCCGGCATCTTGCCGCGCCGCGGCGCTGACCATCGCGCTCCCGGCTCCGCGCAGGGCGCGCCGCGGCCGCCGCCCTCTTATAGCGCCCGGCGCGCGGCCGGGGCGGGGCGCGGCCGGCGGGCCCGGCCCCTCCCGGCCCGGGGCGGGGCCACGCCGGCGCCGGGGCGGGCCGCAACCCGAGGCCGCCCGCCCGCCGCCCGCCCCCCGCGCGCCCCGCCCTCCGGGGGCGGGTCCGGGCCGCGCCCGCCCGCGGGGGGCGGCGCGCGCGGGCGCGGGCGCGGGGACGCGGCGGCCGCCGGGCCGGCCGCGGAGGGCGCGGGGCGCGGGCAGGTGACCGCCCGGGCGGCGGGGCCCGCCCGCCCCCTGCTGGGCCCCGGCCGCGCCGCGCGGGGCGCCCTGGCCTCGGGGAGCCTCTCGCGTCCGAGGTCACGGCCGGCGCCCCCCCTCCGCGCCGCCCCCTGGACCCGCCCGTCGCGCCGGAGCCCCGGGGCCGGGCCGGGCCGGCGCGCTCTGCCCGCGCGGGGGCCGCACCCAAGCGACGCAGACCGCGCCTCCCCGGCCCGGCCCGGCCCGGCCCGGCCCGGCCCGGCCCGGCCCGGCCCGGCCCGGCGTCCGCTGCCCGGGAGCAGGGGAGCGGGGCCGCGCCCACGGGAGCTGCTGGGGGGCCCCTCCCTGCGCCCCACGCGTGCTGGGCTGCGCTCGGAGGACCGCGCCGCCGCGACTGCGCAGGGCAGGGGCCGCCGCCCGGGCTGCGAGGCGCGCCGAGGAGAAACGCGCAGACAGCGCCCGGCACCCGCCCAGCCCCGCCCGGGAAGCCGCCCTGGCCCCGCCCGGGGCCTCCTGGTGTGTGGCCGCCCGCCGAGGGCAGCGGAGAGAGGAGGCACCGGCCTGCCCGGCCTTTCTGAGCCTCGTGTCCCCATCCAGTGCCCTCTGCGCGCAGGAGCCGTGGCTGGCTGCGCCGAGCCCCGCGGTCCTGCTCTGGTCCTCCTGCATCCCGGACCCGCGCAGGGGAGCTCCCCGCCCGCTTCCAGAGGCCACCTCGCCCGCAGGGCAGCAGCCCCGGCCACCCAGGCTGCGCGTGTGGGTGCCTGGCCCCCGCCCCACAGCTCCACCTGAGGCGCTGGCTCCCACTCCGGGGACGCGCTGCGCGGGACGGGGGACTTGGAGTGATGACATGTTTAAAAGCACGGAGGTCGCATCCAAGAAAAATGAAGTGTGAGATTGTAAATGTGTTTCTGGAAGGCGCTGCAGCAGTACAAAGCTCCCTTCCACGGAGGACTCTCGCCGGCCGCCCAGCAAGTCCAGGAAGGAGGTGGCCGGCAGAGGGCCCAGCCAGCCCTGCATGGCCCACCACAGCCACCCCGCAGCCCAGCCAGGCCCCCGGGTACCTGCCGGAGACAGTCAGCAAGGCCTACGAGGCCAGCCTCAGCCAGGCCTTGCGCGAGACTGCCCTGGCCCAGGAGGGCCCCCCGGCCCCAGCCTGGCAGATGCTGCGAGGCGCTCCTCTGTGGGGGTCTCCAGACCTGGGGTCCCCACCTGTGCCTGCCCCCTTCCGTGGCAGGGGTCTTCAGGCAGGAGGGGAGGCCCGAGGTGGCCCCCTCAGAGCTCCTGGTGAGACTGGAACTCCTCAGGGGGACCTCGCATCTCTGGGCCCCAGTTCCCGCCTTGCCTGCTTGGCTTGGGTGGCAAACGGAAGCCAGGAAACTTGACTGAGTCAGCCCTCAAAGGACATGTGGCCACTGGGGGACACACCTGATGGCCGTCCCTGGCTGGCCCTTTCTCGCACCGCTCCTGGGCACCAGCTTGGGCACCAGCGTCCTGCTGGGGCATCCCTGGTGGATGGCACTTCACGCCCGCTCGTGCTGGCCTGCTGGGCCCCAGCTCACGTGCCCTGAGAGGCCCCCGGAGCCATGGGGCAGGCTGTGGCCGGCCCAGGGCAGGCACAGGTGCCAGGCAGAGTGAGGGGCTGGAGGCCACCCGGCCCCCTCACATTCCCAACAGGGCTGAGGGCAGACTCCGTGCTCTCCGGCCCGGCCCCGGGGCACAGTGCAGCGAGGGCGCTCCCTGGAAGGGGGCAGAGGGCAGAGGCGGGGTCAGTCCTGGGCCCTGAAGCTCCAGCTGCCGGAGACCCCACCACGCACGGGCCGCCCCCTGCAGCCCACTGGCCGTGCATCCTCCCATCTCTTTCCCCTGGTGCTAGAGACAGATGGGAGAGAGACCGACAGGGAGGCAGAGACAGTGAGAAAAACAGAATGAGGGGACAGGCCCGTGGGGGTTCGCACGCACAGCTCAACCCACCCCTCCTCCCACCTCCAGCCTCAGTTTCCCAGCCAGCAGCACGATGGGGGAGGGGTTCGGGAGCCCTGGGCCCCACTCTGGGCTCCAGGACGCTGGGTGGTCTGGAGGCTGGGCCCAGCGCACAGATCAGGAAACGCGGCCTAATTGGGAAGGTTTACGGGGCCAGGCAGGGGGTCTCCCGGGGGAGCGACAGCCACTCGTGAGTCATTTGAAACTGAGCTGGACAAAGAGCCCAAGCAGAAGGATCCCACCCAGCCTGCCAGCCGTGGGCAGAATGAGCTCATGGGCTGGGGTGTGCGCGTGTCTGCATGTGTGTGTGCGTGTGTGTGCGTGTGTGTGTGTGTGTGTGTGTGTGTGTGTGTGTCAGGGAGAGGGGAGGGAAGAGGCCCTCCCTCGCACAGCTGGGGCTGGGAAGCAGAAGGCAGACCCTCCCAGCAACCACCCCCGTGTGGCCAGGCTGCCCCCTGGAGGCCAGCGAGGGAAGGGTCCGGCGTCTGGTGACCCGGGCTCCAGCTTCCCCGCAGCATCTCCACCGGAGGGCACCCAGCTCACCCAGTGGGCATTCCGGCAAGGGTGCGGCTGTATCCAGGCCAGCGTCCAGCCCACCGTCGAGTTGGGCCTCCTGGCCGGCACGCACACCCTGGCGGTGCCTGGTGCATGGCCTATCCTGGGGCAGTGGCCAAGTGGACACAGAGCTCTGCCAGCCCAGGTGCCCTGGGCTCACTGCGCCAGCCTCTGCCAGGTGCACAGCACCCCCACTACCCGGTCTAAGGCTGGAGAGGGTGGCAGTTCCCGCACCCCTGGTCTGCCCCAGCCACCCTCCCAAGCACCAGGACAGGAGGAGGAGCCAGGGCCCCGCACTTGCGCGCCCTATCTGTGCCCAGGCCCTGGGCGTGCCCACGGCTCTGGAGCTCTCCTGCCACCCCCAGGGGCGCGGCCAGTCTGCCTCAGGGACTGGCTTCTGGGCTGAGTCCCCCCTGGGTGCAGCTCCGGGCACGGTCTCCCGGAGGCCTCCAGGCCGGGGCATGGCCGTCAGTGGGACCCTCGCTCCCACTTTCTGTCCTGCTCAAAGCTGCTTTAGCAACACTCACCTCTAGCTTTGCAGGCGAGTAAGTTGCGTTTCTCTGGGTGAGTCCTGACCCCGGCTGGCCCTGCTGCGGCCAGCTCTCCCCACCGTCCAGGGGCACCAGGCCCAGCCCCCACAGCATGGGCCTTCCCGGCTCTGATGTCCACGTAGGCTGTCCCTTTGTACCCTCTCCCCCACCCCCAGTGGCTGGAGCACTGGGCATTAGGATCCACAGCCCAGGCCTCGCCTCCTCCCTGGGGGCTGGCCTCCCTACCTCCTGCCGGGCCCTGCTCCCAGCCTGCTGCTGTCCTTCCATCTCCTCCGTGTGCTCAGCCGAGCGAGATGCCTGGCTCCGGCCTCGCCTGCTGGTGCTTCCTCCATTGCCAGGCTAAGGCTGACTCGGCCGAGGGCCTGAACACTCTCATCTCCCCCGTGTGAGGGCCTGATAGTGTTGCAGGTACACGGAGGCCGAGGGCCCAGGGAGGCAGCCGGGGCCTCTGGCGTGTCCAGGGCCTGCCGCACCATGGCTGGCACGTGGGGGGCTGTCTGTGGTGCCCACACCTAGAAGGCCCCACGGGACAGCACCTTTCGCTGTCTCCAGGGCGACCTGCGCGGCTGTGTCGTCCGCCTGTGTAGAGGGGCAGGGCCAAGTTCAGCTCCCTCTGGCGACGGAGGTGCTGGGCTTGGGACCCAGATGGAGCCCATGGGGGTGGGGGGGCCCATGGGGGCTCAGGGCCAGCTGGAGTTGAGTGGGGAAGGAGGGGGTGCTCAGCCCGCACCCCAGGAACAGTCCATGTGGGGCTTGCAGGCAGCCGGCAGCGCAGAGCATGGCCTGGGAGCCCGGGGGAGGCGGGGCGTGGGCCTCGAGCGGCCTCTTGAGGCCGGGCTGGGGCGGCGGCACCAGGGCCGAGGCCTCCGGGCACTGTATGCTATCCCTCCTGCCTGCATGGACAGCTCCGCAGCTGTGCAGGGTCAGCCGTCTCTGAGTGGCCGCTCCTCAGCTGGAGGCCCAGCTCCCCAGGACACACCTGGCCCCGATGCCAGACCCGGGAGGGCACTGCCTCTTACTCCTGCCCCATCATCTGTGCCAGTGCAGCCAGGCCACGTGTACCCAGGGGTCACTGAGCCCAGTTGGGCGGGGGGCACCCACCCAGCAGGTCAGAGAACACATGGACCACTTCAAAGGGGCAGAAGTCACAGCCCAGCTTCCCACCAACAGGCCTGGCAGGACTAGACAGACTTTAGAATCAGGGAAACAAGGTGCAGGACGCACTTCCATGGGCCCTGGGCCCTGGGCCAGAGAGGCCGGGGGTGCTGGGGTCCCTGAGGAGCCTTTCTGTGCATGCCCACAGGGCCACGATCCAGGCCACTCAGGGCAGCACAGCGAGGGCGTCGCTGGGGAGACGGGCCAGGGCAGCTGAGGGGAGGCTGGAGCAACTGGCCCAGGGCACCAGCGGGAGAGAGGACGCGGGGCCAGTGCCAGGCTGAGGGGTCCCGGGGACTGACCCTCTCCGACCGGCTGGGGCACAGCGGTGACAGGTGGGGTGGGGGCGAGCCTGGGGCAGGTTACCTCAGCAGCCCCCCCAGTATGAGGAATGTGGTCTTGGGGCTCTTGGGCATTTGGGGACAGGGTGGTGAGGCCATGGGGCGGGGGCAGGGTGAGGGCCCGAGCAGGGGTGGGTGGATGTCCCGGGACCACCCTGGTTCCTGCCCTGGCACGGGGGT